ACCCACTACAGTCTATTTTTTGCTAAGATAGATTTTGACATTGTCAACTTTGAAACATAAACAATGCCGCAAGATGCCATTTGCACGGCATGCATTGTAAAACTGATGTCAACCTGCAGGGACACCTCATTTTGCGACCAATCAGGACCAAGAGGTATTGTTTATGTTTCAAAATTGACAATGTCAAAATCTATCTTGGGAAAAAATAGACCATAGATGGTATTTGAAATTAATGGCGATTTCCATTTGTCAATCAGTGCGCACTGAGTGTATCCGCATCTTTTACTAAAAGCATGTAACACATAAGGATAGGGATATATTTTTTTTGCACTTGTGCGACAAATGCAATCACTATAACTACAGTTTGAAAATAATCCGGTAGAAATTTATTGGTGCGCAGGTGTAAGAAGTAAAAATCTTGTGCTTTATCATAACACTCATATCTAGTTTATTTGATGTTTCATGATAAAACTAGAGGTACCACCAACTTTATTGGTTCTTACTTGATAATCCTCTACATATTATTTACTTTTAATAAATATAACCTCACAGTAGTAGGTTCTTCCAAAAACTAAAATGGAAGTAATAAGGTTCATTTAACGGAGGTTTGTACTTATGACATCGCCGAGGGGTTATGCACTATGGGAAAAATGTGACAAAATTTCGGATTTACAGCAATTTTGAGGGATTTCTGGTGATTTTCGTAGGATTTCGGAAAGATTTCGGAGGATTATCCACTGTGACAAGATTTCAAATTTAGAGCGATTTTGAGGGATTTCGGTTGATTTCGAAGGATTTCGGGTGATTTCGCAAATATTTTAATTTGATTTTAGACTGTTACTTATCTTATAAGTATATTTCGAAAGTGTATTAGTATAAACTGAAAAATGGCCGCGTTGACCTATTTATGAATTTTGGGCCAATTACGAGGGATTTTGGGTCTGCGGAAAAATTTCTGAGAGATTTCGGGGTGATTTCGTGGATTTCGGAGGGATTTCGGATAAATTTGTGACACGATTTCGGGGAGTGATTAACCCCTCGGACATCGATAATGTCATAACTTGGAAAAAAAAGTTTGTCTTAGATTGATTCATATAAATACAATAGCGTTCAGATTTTGTAATGTATTGAATGACTTCTGGTTTGTAAACGGACAAACGTGTTTCATGTCATTAATTTGTTCCAGTCAATTTTTATTTATTAGAAAAGGAAGGCGAAAGTACAACAGTACGAACAGTAGTATGTTTTGCAGAAGTCAAATTTTGACGCATTACGAGGGATGTTTATAAGGTGTGTGCCAATTGCAATGATTCTCACTGTACCTCTGACCACATACAGCATCTGATCGGGTTTGGAATAGCGCAACCTTTTTCTCATTTCACCAAAATTGTATCTCTTACCGTTTTCGAAATCCCTATGTAGTTACTTTTATTTGGGACACCCTGTATATGAAAAACTGTAAGCAGAAAATTTTTGAAAATTTAACAGTACTTTAATGTCAATGGAGGTAACGTGGCTAAAATATTTTCAAGATGGTGGCTCTTCCGGTTCTACCGAAAGTAGACATCAACTTGCTTATTTTAAATAAAACACCCGGTATGTGATTGCATATTTGGATTCTACGTAATATTTTGAGTAGATTTCATGTGATATACTCTATACTTAAATTGTTAAGAAAATATTGACAGTTCAACATTGACTTTTTTGCAACTTCAGGCTTTATCACATACAGGATGTTTCATCTAAAATAAACAAGTTGACTTCTACTTCCGGTATAACCGGAAGTGCCACCATCTTGAAAATATTTGGGGCACGAAAAACTTTCCACTCAGGTTTTCTCAGGTTTAGGAGATTAATTAAAAATCGCTGGACCACGTAAATTTTTGTTTTTTTTGGGACACATTTTATTGGTATTTTCACCCCCTACCTGTTAACCCTCAAGTGGGTATGCCAGGTACTCCCAAAATTTCAAATGAAAAGGGGGTCGAGTGATACGTCATTTGATAGCGATTTTCATTAAGATTACATCCCCGAAGTTTTAAGTTGCTACTATTTACCCTGTCAAAATGGCGGCTTGTCAAAGTTAAAAAAAAAAATCAATGGAAAAATGCTGTGTGATTTTTACCTATTACTTACGCATAGGTGTGACAGGTAAAAACTATACAATTTAGATTATCGAATGTAATACCACAAGAGGTTTCAGGATTACCGGATAAAACTTTTACCTGTCACGAAACGCGTTACGCTGGTAACGTGTTGAGTGTCAGGTAAAAGTATTAGGTAATCCTGAAACATCGAGTGGTATTCAAAAGGTTACACAACGAACTAAACTTTAATAGGTACTTTAAAATTTTAAAAAATTTCTATAATAGAATTTACTAGAAATGCCACCAAGCGCAAGGCTTATCACTTATTAAGCCTCTCGTGTCATATGGGAATAATGTACAGTGAGTTGTATAATCGAAAAAAAGCATTTATCCTAACTTTGACATGCCGCCATTTCGGCAGGATAAATAGGAGCAACTTAAAACTTTGGGGATATAATCTTAATGAAAATAGCTATCAAATGACGTATTACTCGACTCCCCTTTTCATTTGAAATTTTGGGGGTACCTGTCACCCCCGCTTAGGGGTTGACAGTTAGGGGGTGAAAATACCAATAAAATGTATCACCCAAAAAACAAAGATTGACGTGTTCCAGCGATTTTTAATTAATCTCCTAACACCTGAGAAAACCTGGGTGGGAAGTTTTTCGTGTCCCACCCTATATGTAACAATGCAAAATATGTTTATGTTTGTGATTAAAGGACCCCGCACACCTTTTATGGGTTTTCGGTTTTCTGTCAAACTCAATGAAATTTTTATATGTGATATATCTTGAATTATCCTGATGAAAACTTCTTATAAACCCAACCCGATACTATAAATAGTTTTCTAGATACAGGTAGTTTAATGTCCAAGAAATCTATACATTTTATAAGTATTTATGTATTTACATCTACCTGTTATCTGAGCGTGTGAATACCTGTCAATTCTGGTATATTATAAGGTGACAGGTAGAAGGTAGATGTGAATACATATAAAATGTGTACCGGATGATTGTCTATATTTTGCACCCACACCTATCTCACCTCTTTGAAGAGATACTTAGGGCCATATTCTCCGTAGTTCATAAAGCCTGGCTTAGTGGAAAAGCTCGGCTTTGTCACACAAAAAGCCAAGCGTTTCCACTAAGCTGAGCTTTATGAACTACGGAGAATATGACCCTTAGAGATGTCAAATGTAAAAGTTGTAGGTATAAATATCAGAAAGTGTTCAATGATTATTAGTTATAAGCATACAGAGTGTGTCACAAAATTGTGGCGATTCAAAACCCCGTATATTATTGTCCCATTCATTGAATTAATTTTTCAAACCTGATTCCAAATATACTAGATTTTTTAGGTTTATAATGGTTTATTTCTCATAGTCCAGCCTCTGAATATCTCATTTTGAAGAAATATGTAATATGGTTTTTAAACATGTTTGATTACCTTTATATTTTGCTGATGGTCTCTATACTTCATCTTTCTCAATAGAATAGAAAAGCAATTATTGCACCCCTTTTTGTCCAATTTTCTCCTGGACTATTAAAAATAAATCTAAAAAACCTAGTATATTTGGAAAACTACCTGCATCTCGAAAACTATTCATAGTATCGGGTTGGGCCTATGATAACTTTTCATCACGGAGTCAAAATATACCACATATCAAAATTTTATTGAGTTTGACAGAAAACCAGAAACCCATAAGAGGTATGCGGGGCCTTTATCGAAGAATGGTACCTAAAGTCTGTTTTTTTTTTTTCAAAGATAAAAGTCAAAATGACATTCTGTTGGCAATACAATGTAAAATTGTCAATGCTTTCAAATTTTTGATGTAGAAAAGGCTTGTATTGCCAACATAGTTACTAAATTTTTGACTTGGGGAATTATCTTTAAAATAAAAACAGATTTTATATCTTAATTCATACCATCACAAAACAATATAATGTGAAAATTGGTCACATTTTAGGCCTATAAACAGGAAAACATTAGACGAAAATGTAAGTTGACAAGTTTGTTTAGATACAGGCTGTCAATTAGTGATGTCACACTAATGAGAATAAAGTTCAAAATGTATAAGTAAATCAACGGAAAACTCCTTGATTTTAAACACAAGAAACTGATGGGGAACTTCGTCGTTATACATTGTGCAAGGCACCAAAGTAGTTACTATTTATAAATTCAGATTCGACACTGACGACAATTATTTATGGTACAGCATTTGCGTGTAATTACTTACAAAGCGGACAGTAATTGTGCAGCATCTAATGTCTCATTAGTAATATTTTTACTCTTAAAAAAAGATCAACACAAATACATAATATCGAATCTAGTTTTGTTTCAAGGCAGCTTTTCAATGAAAAATTCAAGGGTTTTAAGTTTCCGTTGGTGTCGGTTACGTGAAACAAAATCAGCTAAACATTAAAACTTTCAATTTATCATCGGATAAAAGAGGTTGTCGTTCTTAAAGACAGTGATAAGTGTTTTGGGGGCTTCATAAAATCCCAGCCGATTTGTCTTCGTTTATGACAAATTTTGCACCTGAATGTGTATGCTTTTTTTCTCTAGTGGTAATCAATCTAATTTCTCACATATTCAGCCATTGAAATCGTAGTAATTGGCTTACGGAAATAAAATTTTCCAGGTAATTTTTCAGTCTGTGTTTTATTCAAGCTCGAGGCTAAATGGTGCTCCACATTTTTCAATGGCTGAATCGGACTTTTTAATAAACGAACAGCGTTCTCTAATTGCGGTGCGATTTTTTCTTGATTGACGTCTTTATGAAAAAGCTTCAGGAAATATAGAAATGAATTCCAGGAACTTATTTACTCTCTCCCTTAGGAATTATGGCAATCAATTGGGAAAAGGGGCATGTTTTTTTTAACTTTAGATATTTAATAGAATTATTATTTCCAGATCCATATCCATCGGATCCGCACCGGTTCGAGGAGCTGAGCAGCGCGGCAATAGCGCCGGGCGGGTACCCACACGACGCGCCTCCATTCGGTCCCGGAGCGGTAGCGGCGGCGGCCGCCGATGTGTTCAGAAAAAGCGGTGGCGCGCCGCCGCCCGCCGCCGCCGCTCCCGACTTCAGGGCGGCGGCCGGAGAACCGCCGCGGCCCAATCCGTTCCAGCAGCCCGGCGCCGTGCTGATGGTCTACGGTCTGGATCCCCTTCGGACCAACGCCGACAAATTGTTCAATTTGATGTGTTTGTACGGGAATGTGGCAAGGGTAAGACTTTTAGAAGTTAAGATGTTGAGAATTTTGGAGCAACAACAACTGTCAGTAGCTGGCAACAGTGTAGTAGGTTGCAGTTTCCACTTGTGCCGACTACATGGGGGTATTGGGGCAGGTGCACCCATGAGCAACTTCTTATGGGTGCGGAGCACCTATCAGTGACGTAACTACAGGGGGGCCTGGGGTTTTTTTTTATTTGTTGGAAAATGAGGAAAAACATTCTATTTGAGATTGTAATTGTGGCAACGTTGTTTTCGATCAAGTAGGCCTTGTAATGTAATGTCATTTGCCACTTTTGACAGCCGAGTGTTTTTATCCAGGTTTTCCTTGAATTTTCCGGTTTTTCAATCAAAAAAACTTGTTTAAAGTACGAGGCTTTGAGTTTCCTTCATTTTTTGACAAAAATTTCCAGTTTTCCAACGAGGTTAGTGTCCAGAACCATGGTTTGATCAAGTAGACTTTAGAATGTTGGTTTTCCATTGAATTTTCCACTTTTCCAAGGCTCCTTCAATCGGAAAAAGACTTCAAATTTACTTCAATTTTTCACCATAAACTTCCATTTTTGGACTAAAATAGTATCCTACTTTATCTCTCTCTTTGTCATACTCATTACCAAATTATTAGTCGGCCATTTTGAAGTGTCGTGTTTACATTTTTATCCAGGTTTTCCTCGAATTTTCCACTTTTTCAGGGTTTTTTCAGTCGAAAAAACTAGTTTAAAGTACGAGGCTTCGAGTTTTTTCCATTTTCTGCTAGAAATTTCCAGTTTTAGAGACGTTTTACACGGCAAAGTTTCTTCACGAAATTATTCACGAAATTATTCACGAAATATTTCGTAAGTTTACTATTCTTGGTTTCGCTTTTTCCTTTGCACAGCTGTTTTTGGGTGCATTACTTTTTCACCGATGAGCAGTCTATCCTTATCTAATACATAGGACATTCAATGACGCATTCATGGGCTCCACGAAAAAGAAACTGCCTTTTAGTGTGCGCCGAAACTCACGCATATTTTCGGCCACGCCCACAAAAACTATGGAACATTTTCTAAAGTTTATTCGTAAAATATTTCGTAAGTTTTTCTTGTCGTGTAAAACAGGAAAAGTTGACTTACGAAATATTTCGGCAACAATTTCGTAAGTAATTTCGGGAAGAAACTTTGCCGTGTAAAACGGCTCTTAGATCCATTTATTTACGGTCAAAAGGTAAGTGAAAAAAAAATTATTGAAAAGCAAGTTTTTGAGGACTTATTTAAGGAATTTCTAATTTTAAAATCGTTATTAATTAATTATTTAACGGGTTTTTAATTATTAGATTGCAAGTAGAATACTCTTTTAAATGATTTTTTTGGAAGTTTTGTGACGTAGCGACATCGTTTGTAGCCAACTTCAAGTAGACCTTGTAATAAATGTCATTTGCCATTTTCGACAGTTAGCCATTTTCAATTGACGAGTTTACATTTTTGTCCAGATTTTCCTCAAATTTTCCGCTTTTCCAGGCTGTTTTCAATCGGGAAAATCGTTTTAAAGTTCGAGGCTTTGAGTTTTCTCTATTTTCCACCAAAAATTTCCAATTTCCCAATGGAGTAAGTGACCAAAACTTTGATTTTTCAAGTAGGCTTTGGAATGTTGGTTTTCCATTGAATTTTCTAATTTTCCATTTTTCAATAGACCTATCTATTTTACCAGACAAAGAGGTAATAATACGAAAACTTCATTAAATAAAAAAAGATACAGAACGTTCATTGCGCAAGACGAGGCAAAATGTACCAAATTATGTTAGACTTACGTATAGAAATCCGTCCTTCTTATTTGCACGGGATAAAAAGGGAAGAAGAAAAACCGAGTGTTGTGCAACGTATTTGTCAATGAAAATGTCAAACAATGAATGACATTTGCCAAGTTGAAATCAACTTTAGATTTATTCTTGTCAGACCACGTGCAATGAACAAGGACAAAGAGATGTCCAGCGTGCAAAACGATCACCACACACCTGTATTGGCTAGCCAATAAAAAGAAATTGCCTCGTGTTGCGCGCGCATAACAGGTAAAAATAGATAGGTCTATTAGAAAAAGATGATTTTAAAAACGGGGCTTTGAATTTGCTTCATTTTTCCACCAAAAACTTCGATTTTTGGATTTAATTTTTTCCTACTTCATCTCCTTCTTTGTCTTTCTTACTATTAAGCAGGCCTTGGTATATCATTTGTATTGAAATTTATTAAAAATAAGATTCCAATGCATTATTTCCGGAATTTATCATTTTATAAACATTATTAATTAATTATTTAAACAAAAAACTTCAAAATGTAATTGAGATGTGGCAACGTCGCACAATGTCATTTTCCAGTTTTGACAGTCGGTCATTTTTGATGATTTTACCCAGTTTTTCCTCGAATATTCCGCTTTTTCAGGCCGTTTTCAATTGGAAAAACCGATTGAGAAGACGATGCTTTGAATTTCCTTCATTTTTTACCAAAAATTTCCAGTTTTCCAATGGGGTAAGTGACAAAAACTGAAGTTTTATTAAGTAGACTCTGGATTGTAATTTTTACGGGATTTTCTTTGGATTTTTCGCTTTTCCAGTGCTTTTTCGATCGGAAAAACCGATTTTAAGTACGAGGCTTTGAGTTTTCTTCATTTTCATCCATAAATTTCTAGTTTCAAATACTAAAATTAGGGGTGAATAAGGTTTTTCTGCCTCTTTTAAAAAAAAGTGAGCACTTGAATTACATCCTACTTTATCTCTTTCCTTGTCCTACTCAGAGGGTTTTAGAACTACTTTGCACTTAAAAAACACTAAATTTAGCTGAAAAAACGAGGCTCTGAATCAAAAAAAGGGGGCTCTCAAAACAAAAAATAAACAAACGCCATTGTCGCCATTTTGAATTAATTGTCAAAAATTACAAGGCCTACTTTGGCTGTGACATGTCAAATTTTTTGACGTTTGCGTCAGGGTTACTGCAACTTTTGTGCCAGGGTTGCTACATTTTTTCGTCCCTGTAGGCCGATTTTTCAATATCGAGTCACCTCCGGGTTGGTTTTAACTAGAAGTGGGCCAACCTGCGATTTTACTGGAACTGTGAGAAGACGTGACTGCTCTAGTCGTGCTACGGTAACAAATAACAGTGACTTGACTGGCCGTGCTGGTAATACTATGGTACATTACATAATCGCAGTTCGCTCAGTTCACAGTCACGGCCGAGAAGAATGTTCCAGTCTGCCCTCTGCAGTGGCAGTTTCTGTTTTGCGTCACCGCAATGTGATTTATAATAATATTTCATTATTTGCATCACTTTAAGTTGAGTTTAGTCCGCACTGTATCGGTTAGAGATCGAAGTGGCCGTGACAAAATGTCACTGCTACTTGAGTGGGACCGGAGCAGGCCGTGACTGTGACAGACGAGTAGCAGTGACAAAGTCACAGTTCGTAAAATCGCAACTCACCTCTAGTTTCTCAATAACGTGTTTAGTTGCAATGTTTACCTAGAGTTATCCTTAACCCTGGGGGTGACTCGCTCTTTGGAAACCGGCCCTGAATGATGGAAATAAATAAATTTCTACATATTTAGTTATAAATCGACTACCGATTACCATGATCCGTTGAATAATCGAATAACCACCGATTCATGACACACGTCAAGTCACAGAATAAAAAAATCCCCAAATTCTGGGATACTCGAGGATCAAGAACACTAATTTGTTCTGTGAGAACAGACCGAAAATCACTTTTTCTACATTTAAAATCGACGAAAAAATTAACTCACTAGCATAGCCTGAATCGCAAGTATTCGATTAAGGTCTACGGGTGACGTCATTGCTAATTTCTGCTGATAGTGATGTCTTTCGCAGGCCCAGAATTTGATGGAAAGGGAGTTAGGGAAGTATGACACAATTGACACATCACATAACCCAGCATAATCAGATTATGCTTGAATATTCTCGCCAAAAATTGCCTCATATTCGAAACGCCAGTTTCTTGTTTGGCTTTAGCCACACCGGAATGGGACCGGAACGTGAAACCCATTGAGTTAGGATGGTAGGGAGACGCTATAAGTATTATTTCGTAGGGAAATAAACGGCGCACTGGGCGTGGCTAATAGTCATAACAATATGGATGCCAGGCCAGGTCTAAATTTATAAGAATTGATTATACTAAATTTTGAGTAAAAGATTTTTTTCTTTTAATTGAGGACGCATATATTGGGAATGCATTTTTTCAAGTTTGGAACAGAATAATAGGAATTGACGGGATAAAAGCCAGAAACTATTCAAATAAAGAAATAGAGAAATACATTTTTGAAATACTTCCCTGTTTATTGTTATTATTTTGTCTACTAACCTGTGGTATGTTATTCCGGTCGATTTCTTTTTATCAACTGCATGCCTACTATTGCAGCTACGAAGGGCATATGAAACCATTATTGTCTTTCACTATATTGTTCAAAATATCACACGAAAGTACAAAAGGCAAGTAAAAACCCAAAAACTTGATCAGACAACCAAGTGACAGTTCGTTGACGTAAGGTTCGTATGAATATGGCGGACCTGGATCCGCTTTCGACCACGTGATCGCATCTCCCTACCATCCTAACTCAATGGTGAAACCCAACCCAAAAGTAGAGAGTGGAGTGCAGAACTCGGGTACGATATAGAGCGAAGAGCGACACTCGACTTGTATTCTAAATTGTACTAGATTTATGAGAGAGGTACTAGCGTACTAGGTGAAACGTGATCGTGATAGATCTAGTACAATTGTACTAGAAATAGCATCCCTGCCTCCGATCCACCAACAAACGGACTGTCTGCCATTGTGCCACCCAAAGGTCAGTGCAAATTGCAATGTGCAGAAGTGATGCAGTATACCAAAGCCATTAAATTAGCACTACCAATATAACAGATTAGTTTGGGAGTTTGACTAAATATTTTTCCTGTGAATCCGTGAATTGGTGTTGCTGATATACTATACAATGGCTGATAAGCTGGGTTAGCTAGGTAAGTGATTTAAGCCCGGTTTAGTCAGCTAAACGCCTATAATTGCACTGTTCTACTTTTTTAAAGATTCCAATAAGTCGCAATAACAGGCCCTAGGCCACTGGCCCCTACTACATGAGGGCATTGGGGCAGGTGCTCCCATGAGCAACCTCTCATGGGTGCTTGAAGCTCTCGTAGGGAATGCGAAGTACAAACGTATTTAATGGTCGTTCCGTTCCGTGTGGTAGTATCAGTATGATGTATTATGTTATTTAAATTTACACAACTTTGTATAAGAATTATACAAGTGGTATAAGTCTTAGTGTACAAACACAGTGCAAGCAGGTTTTTCGCTTACTGGTAGGCAGCGCCGATCTGCGCAGTGTTCTCGCGCCGAGATAGCACAGAGTGAATAACTGCAAAAGAAAGCGAGAAAATCTTTTTAAACTTCAAATCTGCCACCTGCCAGTTGTGTCGCGTCTTGAACTTCTAGCCTAGCAAATATCTTATCTTCGGATGATGATGATTTGATTGCTTTAGATTCTGTGCATACTAAATTAAAAAGAAAAAAGTTGTTATACATATTCTTAATCGTGAAAGAAACCTGTATGGAGAATATTATTTCTCTCCAATATTTGTCGACTTCATTTTAATTGCTATGCTGCTTATGCCTTTTGTCCCAAATAGGTTTTTTTTTTCAAAAATTGCAGCATTAGTAACTTTTTATCCATCACAAGAACTGAAAAGCACTGCCGCGACGCGTGCAAAAGCAGAAATAAACTAAATTTTAATTTCGGTTAAAACGAGAACGCTGGTTCCCGCATCTACCTGCCTCTACCTGCTTTTCACTGTGTTCTAGCCGATTCAAAAACATGCATTCATTTTTCGCGCCTATAAGCGCGAGTCAGCGCTGATTACCGGTAAGCGGAAACCTGCTTGCACTATGTTTGTACACTTAGATTAGGGAGGTATTAGTATTCATGTTGCTATTCTCCATCTCTATTCTTTGATAATAACCGGGACATAAGGCATTTTAGGATATAAAAGTACCAGGCATAATTATTTTGATAATGATGTGATATTTTCTTGGCCTAAAATGCATGCACCTCTGCCAGGCCTACCCTAGGCCCCCCCCCAGGTCAGATGGCTAGTTACGCCAATGGCACCCATGGGAGCTCTTGTGGGGAATGCGAAAGTACAAACGTGTTTGATGGTCATTCCGTTCCGTAGGGTAATATCAGTATCATGTAATTTGAATTTAAAACTACCCAGGATGCCCCGTAGAGATTTTGGACCTCTTGGATATTTGGAGTGATCGCAGGAACGTCGAGTGAGCGGCCGCTTAAGATGACTTCGGTCAGAGAGGATCGGCTCTTGGTGTACCTGCGCCTTTTTGTAGAAGGATTGGCGAGGATCCCGACCAGTGAAAGTTTTGCCGTAGTTTGAGGGCTTTCTATCAGCCGCGGCGCCTAAAGGGCCCGCGCCAAGAGAGTGATTTCTCCACCCCTTTTCCGAAATTTGACCCCGAATTGCTCGGAAGTCCAGCTTTTCAAGGCGGAATCGAATTGCTGGTCACTTCCGGTCAGGGTCATTTGAAGAAGAGTTTCCGAATGACGTTCGCCGTTGTTGTTGGAATTGGGGTTGAGGTGGCCGTGGAAGGTGGCCAACTGCACCAGAAGGTGATTGAAAATGCTGTTCATGCCTCCCGGCTCTCGGTTTAGAGTTGCCACTCCAATGACCGGAAGGGGAGGTGGCATCAGTGAAGCAGCTGGGGGGGTTGTTAGGTGGTGCATGAATGTCACTCGACGTTTGGGTGCCCAATGGAGTGGACTATTAGAGTCATTCCTGGTAGACTTTGGTCTCAGTCTCTTCCGGGTGGAGATGGTGGGGGTTTGAGACGCACAACTCTGTTCTTTGTCCTGCCTGGGCCCTTATCCTTAGCTAGGTTCAGGCGTTTAGGAATGGTTGCGCTGCTGACTGGTGCGCTATCGTCTCCCAAAATGAGGTTCGATGGGGTCCAGAAGACCGAATTGTCAGGAAACGAAGGTGGGTCGATTTGGGGGTGAATTTTTGATGGACCAGGAGTTTGCAAGTAATATCATGTAATTCAAATTTACACAGTTTGCGCCTCTCCCTATAAACACATTTATAAAGTTATTATTCTGCACCCTGCACCCATGAGAACTTTCAAAAGTCGACGCCTCTGGCAGTTTCAGGGTTGCTGAAAAATAGTTGTGTCAGGGTAGAGTTTTGAATATGTTATGTATTTTGAATAATATAGAAAATGTCCTCAATTTAAAAAGGAAGAGAAATAATTTGGCAAATAAATGTTTAAATTAATTTTGAAACCGTTCAAGTTGAGAATCAAGCCACAAAACCTTCAATTATTATTGCAGATAAAGTTCCTGAAATCCAAAGAAGGCACAGCGATGGTACAGATGGGCGATAGCGTGGCGGTGGAACGTTGCGTTCAAAATCTGAACAACGTTATAGTGGGACTGACAGGTGCCGCTCCGCTACTCAATCACCATCACAAAGACATTAAAGAAGAAATTGAGGCGCAACTGAAAGAACACAAACTGCAGCTCGCTTTCAGCAAACAGCCGTACCTGAGCGAAGTGACGAATCCTTATCCGCTACCGGACAAATCGCCGTCGTACAAGGAGTACCTCAACAATAAAAATAACAGATTTATGAATCCAACTATGGCCAGCAAGAATAGGATTCAGCCGCCGAGCAAAGTAATGGATTTTTCTTGTGTGACATTTATTCATTATTACTAATGAATTATTTTCATAGATTTTACACTTCTTCAATACGCCACCGCAAGTGACCGAAGCCGAACTAATCCAGGTGTTCAAAGACTACGACGTGGTACCACCGAAAGCGGTTAAATTGTTCCCGATGAAATCCGAACGAAGCAGTTCGGGTTTGTTGGAGTTCGAAACGACCACGGAAGCTGTGGCGGCCGTTATGGCGTGCAATCACGCCGCTATCGAAAGTCCAGGTAAAAATTTGTAATGTTTTAAATAGTGTTATTAGTTAATCTTGGCATACAGAGGCAATCAAAATTGTGAAAATGTTTGACTCCATTCTTTAAATTTACATAATAGGTTTGTGAACCTGTCCCGTGAAAACTTACAGTTATTTTTTTTTTTAAATTCTTCCTTTATTCGTGCATAGGACGATTGCATCATCGATAGTCTTAGTCAGTGGATGAAGCTGAACAGTATTTTCTTGGAAAGTCAAGAAAACGAAAGGTCTTTAATTCAATGACAAGACCTACCTTCAGTTAATGTACAGCACTATAGGCTGGGAAAATAGCAAGATAATTCTCTTCGCCCTTAACGTAATATCCTACCAGCAAAACCCAACATATATATTTCTAACAGAGACCTGAGTTCACTGCTCTATTTCAGACTTTCCAATAAACATTCCAAAGTATAAATTATTTCGGAATCACACAGAAAATAAAAAGGCAGGTGAAGTTTGCATCTATGTAGAGTCTAAATGGTACCTAACAAGGTTTTCGCTACAGTAGATTCTAATTTTGAAGTTATATTTAATACAATCTTATTGCATATATTTATGGACTCAATTACCTAACACAAACCTTTCCCTTTTAAAAAATATGGAGACCTCAATGGCGTGACCTTTGCCCACCTTTATTTTTGACGACTTCAAGTACCCTGAGATTGACTGGAAAAGTTTAACGTTAACGCATTTTAAGCAAGCATCCAACGGTTTTCTTAATATTTATCAGACAGTGAATGCTTAGTAACTGATAAGTTTTTCCTCCAGATTTAGAGGAGTTCACAACTTAGCAGTGGCAAATGACAAAAAACTTTTACACAACATCTGCAGTGAATCTTCTACGACTTAGTAATCATCAATCATCTAGTTATACAAGCTAAATGTATACTTTAAAAATGCTCATTCTGTTGAGAAAAAAAACTTCTGGACTGCTGACTATGACGCAATCCACATATATCAGATTAAGTGAATCGACGACAGCGGAAATTTTCTGACAAAGACTATTGAATGGTATATTCCACTTAAGACCAGAAAGGTTAATCATACCAAATTATGGCTTAACAATTCAATTTTCCGTCAAAGGAAGCTTTGGGATAGGTACAAAAGAAAAGGTAATCAAAACCATCAGCTTTTGACAATTTGGCAAGTATCCGGCCTGGATGAACCTGATTGGTGGAGTTTTTGACAGGATGGCCGTTGCCACGGGGAACCATGCGGTTGTCAATGAGCTAATGTCACCTTACGTCTCGCTATTGGCCAGGGCTTCCGTCATTTTATCCTCCCACACTGTGTGCTGGGCACACATATACTCTAAGCGACAACCACAATCTTCGAGGGCACTCTGGAGAATTAGAGACAGAAAGAGGTTCTAAATTTCAGAAGAAATTTCTTGTGCAATAGAGTGGTCTATACTTAGAATCCACATACAGATCCCAGTACCAACTCGTTTAAAAATAGACTAGATAGCGATCTCAGTTTTAATGTCTATGAAAGAATAGGCCTACGGTACGTCCTGCCTGTCGAAAAAGGCGGGTATAAATGGACAGCCACTAGATGGCTTAATCTTCTCCAAGTGTGCAACAGGTTCCCAGAATAAATACTTAAGTCTCGGACGCGCGTCGTAACGGTCGGGTACGACGCAGCCCGATCAATCAACCAGATAACCTAGCTATGAAGTTGGAACCCGTAACGAGCGCCAGTTAACCAAATGCTCGACCAGCCAACAGTGCTTTGGAGGCAAATCGGCCTCTAACCAACAAGGCAAGATTACCCAGGCAACGCATGCAATGGAATCAACAAATAAATACTAACATATACTAACCTCATCCGTTGGTACTTCAAAGTAACACAAGGTGACCGGAGATCTGTAGGTGTGACTAGTGTGAAACCACTACTTCACAGAGTATTTTCCTGACCTGAATCATCTTTCGGAGCAAGGACTAATAGACCAAAAACAATTCATAATCAAGAACTTATTTATAAACAAAATGAAATCAAAAGTGTTGTGAACTAGTGAATTTTTTATTACTTATATTATCAATAATCCTAATGTTCACTACATTTTCTCTTCTACAAGTTCCACCATCTGTGTAATTGAGTCCCAAGTTTTATTATAACAATACTTTATGCTGTTAGGGTTGAAAGACGATGCCGGCTAGAATTATTATATAACCATGTCCTGTTCACACCAATTTCTCAAAAGTCGGTACTTCTATTGCATCAGAAACCCCAAATGTTGTAAATATAAAAACTAAGTCAAATACAGTCCATGAGAAGTACTCTTGCCGCCAAAGACATAGTACCTTTCCAGGCCTTTTTTTATAATACAGATGGCGAGAATTCAACCCCTAGGCTAATTTTAGGTTTATGATTGTACAAACGTTTCATAACATTTTAGCGCCTAAATAAAATATGTTGTTAGGATAACGTAATTTTAGGAAATTGTAGAATACCCTTCTTTAGGGAGGTCCAAACTTGTCTTCTTTAGTGGAAGATAGATGAAGGCAAGGTATTCAGATTCCAAACTTCACTCTGAACAGTCGGGTTGCCTCTCAACATTCTCAATTAGGTGTCCCCCCTCAACGACAATTTTAACAAATGGAACATTTTTATACAATATCGAGTTTTAATTATCGAAGTACGAGATTGGAACGCGCGGTAAACTCCAGGTATTTAACATTCGTGACATCGGTCAACTCCCGATCCCCAACAGAAGTTATAGCAGAACGAAATCAACATGTGCATCTATTGTCCGTCGATTTTAATCTGATACTCGGACGGAATGTGAGCTGGTGGCTCCTTACATTAGAACGCCAATGATTACCTGACGTCACACCTGTTTTTTCCATATAAAACACCCCGTCGCTCCTCATACGGAAAGTGTCAGTTAAAAACCGACGAACACTAATCACACATTACAAGAGAAACGCCGAGATCTCCCTAAGGGACGGCAAGACATAGAACAGGAAAGAGCAACACCATAATCGGAGCTAAACCCAGACTTCTCCAATGAAACGGCAGCGACACTTGTCAATGAACAAAACAGTAAAGCCAATCAAGGTTTCCTAGAAGCGCTAGCAAAATTTGCAGAAATGGACCCATTAAGGAGACCGCCGATAAGGCAAAATTGTTACAAAGCTACTGGTAATTGCGAAGCCATTAGACACTTATGCGTACTGCCTATATTCCTGGAACAAAACAGATCATTCATTGATATGCATACTGCGGTATATGCAGCTGCCGCATCAGCATTTTGATTAAATGGCAGGAGAGTGTCACACACACGTTTAAATCGTAAAATAAGCAAGATCCGACAAGAACTACGAAGGCTTAAAGCCTACCAGAAGGGACGAAAAAGTATAAAGCTGTCTAATAAAAGTCAACATAAAACATGCAACCCACGAACCGCCAAACTTCACCGTAGATTTAGGACTAGACACTCTCAAACAAAAATTGAGCGTAGTCTGCAAGTGACTCGGACGATACAAGAAGTCCAACTTGAGAAAGGTAGAAATCCAGCTGTTCAATAAAAATCGAAAAGTATATTTTAAGCCCCTGACAGAACAAACTTCAACAGAAACAAACCAAAAACCACACGAGGAGATCAAAAAATACTGGAGCAACATATTGTTCAATAAACTACAACGAAGAGGCTGAGTGGACCCAGAGAGACACATGACTGATATGGAAGGACTGAAGAACATGGAAGTGGAAGTGGTTATACAAAACTTGCCTAACTAGAAAGCAGCGGGACTGAATAACATTTAAAATTTCTGTTCAAAAAATACAAATGTAGCCACAAACATATAGCCCACCACTTCAATAAACTTGGAAAACCTAGAAAAAGCGCCACCGTTCATTTTTCAGGGAATCACCTTCCTTCTGCCGAAGGACAATAACTCCGAGAATCCTGTCAGGTACCGCTCGATCACGTGCCTTCCTACCATCTGCAAGTTGCATGTTTAGCCAGCAAGATATAAAACCACTCTGAGCAAAATAAAAACCTATAGCAGAGGAGCAAAAGGTGAGGGGTATAAGGAACAGGCTGATTGACACAATTATCATGGAATAAGCGCTGAAGAAATGCAAACCTTTACATGGTTTACGTGGACTATAAGAAGGCATTCAACTCAGTTCCGCATGCATGGCTTGTCAGGGTGTTACAGCTTTACAAGGTTTCGGTCAACAAAATCACCACTGACACAATTAGGACAAATAGAGGAAATATTTTTAACAAAATATAGATACCACCATCCAAAACCTGCTATAGAAAGCCTGATAATACCGAGACAATCTGGCGGCAGAGGATTGATAGATATATGTTATCTCCAGATTGCAAACGTACAGAATTATTTTCTTTCTAAATCTGAGTTTACATGCGGCGCCGGCGGTCCTACTAGCCAATATAAATTACATACCAATGAATCTATATCTATGGTGAATTTTGAAAATCGAGTTAAGACAAAAGCAGAACGTGTTGCGGTGGTGACAAAAAACTTTACATGGAAAGCATAGTTATGACACGGCCGACGAGATTGTATATCAAGGAGAATCCAATGCCTGGCTCACCTATGGTATGCTTTTCCTGGAAACGGAGGGATTCTTTATAGCTATCCAAGACTGTTGAATATAATAATGTGTAGCATATGGAAATTCACTTAGTTTTACGACAAATATAATTGTTTTACCTGCACTTTACCTGTTTTTGTAGTGATATCAATTTTTGATAGATTGCCTAGTGTAATGTCAGATGAAATAGTCTTTTATCTCAATTATTAATTGTTATTAGTCAGTTTTTCTCGTTATTTCACATTATATCTTTTACTAAAAATCGCTTCATCAATCTGTCATCATCAACTTTAAGAGGTTATGGGCCCAGAAGTGACGGTTTTTGAAAAATAGCTGCAAGGTGTACCTTAGTGTATTTTCAATTTTGCTTAGAGTCATTCTTTGTTTGAAAAATGTTTTTGGACA